ACTTTCTTTTGGTATAAAGCTCTTTAATGCTACGTTCACACTCTGCTCAAGGATAAGTATGATTCTTCTTACAGTGCTGGACCTCCTTCCCAAATACACGTTTTTTACTCTTTTCTCCCTTAGAGCAAAAATAACTGCCATTGTGCAAGGTACCTCCTCTTAAGAGCATGAAACTTTTCCATAGATGTCCTTTTCTTTGTGATACTTCTTTCAAAGAAAAGCTTATGCAATTTTGGGAGATAGGGAATGGTAACAGGTAAAGGCAAAATAGAGGGAGACAGCAAAATGTATAGACAGTATTATGTGTGTACGGGTGCTTAACTGTAGTACCGTAACCTGTGTTAGCACATAACTTTATAAACTGTGATATTTTTATTCTTGTGGGACCCTGCAAGGTATAGGGGGTAGTCTGAAATAATCCCTATTTTTCAGACTGAGCTCAAAAGTTTCCCAGCAACGTAGAGAAACCTGCATTTTTCTGCTTGGAGAAAGGGGGAAACGAAATGGATTGCAGGGAAGAGGTGGTGGGGTGAATGAAAGGAGTTTAGGGGAACTAGACAGGCCCAAGAGAGCGTGGGGAGAGTTGTAGAGAAGGCGTTAGAGTAGGGATGGGAGTAGGAGCATCTTCCTTCATGCCTCTAAGTCTGCCTTGCCAGACCACCCAATCTTCTGAGCATGGGACTTGGAAGCACCCTCCTTCTTTAGTGAAGTGGTGTTTTTAAGGAAGGGGAAATAACTGGTTCTTTACACATAAATACTCAAGAACAAGAACAGCCACTTCTGTAAACCTGTGAATTAATGCTGTGCCTTTTTTTTTTTTAAAGGTTTGTTTCTTGAGAAAGACATTTTAATGTAATTACACGCTATCAAGAAATGGGAAAGAATTTTGCATTTTGTATGCGGGCCTGAATAAATAGATCCATTGAGAGACAGACAGAGCGAGTCACTTGGAATGCACCAGTCAACAGCAGAAATGTAAACATACTCCAGCTACGCGCTCTGCGCTTGTATTGCAGCGTGTCACAGAACAAAACTGCTATTAATGCAGGCTGACTGCTGCTCTTGTTGAATTCAGTAGTGAGTTCCTCACAAAATCCAGTTTAATTCACAGACCATGGATCAGAACCACATTGTGTCTGACACTCTGGAAACCCAGGAAGGCAGGAACTTGCTGCAAAGGAGTCTCTGGTCCCTCTTAAAATGAGGGGTATGAAGTTGGTTTGCAGAGCTGAGTAGGTTTAGAGTAACAGCAAGTGAATAAAACGCTGAGGCCAACAGATCTTTGTCTCTTGTGTTCCAACATGTTCATGCAACCTTATCTCATAGATAGGTAGATCTACCATGTATTTATCTTCATCCAGTACCAGTCCTAATGAAATAGCATCCAGTAAGACTGTTGCTTCGTGAATGATGATAATTTTAGAAAGCCACTATCAGAATCTGTTAGAATCTTAGCCTTTAAAAAGTAGCAGGTTACTGGAAAAAAATTGTGTAAAAATCAAACACGATTCAATTGGTTGTGCTGAAACTAGACTTACTCTGGCAGCTGTAGGGGAGCAATATTAATTAGTTTGTGTTTAAAAACAAAGTAACTTCCTCATCATATCTCTTTATGGTTTTTTGTTTGTTGGTTTTTGTCGTCTTGATAAAATAAATGTCACCAAGCCTGAGAGTGTGATGTTATAGTTGTTTTTATTCCTGGGTATAAAAATGTGTTGTATTTGTGAAGGGTGTAAAACAGTGATACCAAGAAGGAAAGCTTAATCACAAACAGAGGTATGTAAGATCTATGCTCCAAGAGGCTCAGCTATCTGGAAAGCAGGTCTGACGTGCAGGAATCTTTAGCTTGTGCTGGTGAAATCTCTTGGCAAATAGACTGTCCTTGACTATAAAAGGCTGCTTATGGAATTTTTTTGTCTTACACATTTTCTTTTGATTGGGCTTTGAGGGACCTCAAAAAGCAGCATTTCACATGTCGCCTTGCACCTTTTACAGGTCCTTCTTATTTGGCGTTGAGTAAGTCACTTCTTTCTTCAGCTGCACGTTTATTATAGGGTCAAAGGAACTATTATAGCCTCTTGCCCTGTCTCATGATTGTGAGGTACTACAAATACGTTCCTTTGGCACGACAGAGACATAGTACAGCATAGTCAAATCAAACTCTGAGCAATAGCTTCCTTACATGTTTCAAAAGAAGAGATAAATATCAGTTTCATAAGGCAGATGAACCTTAATTGCTGAATGTTTATAGAAAGTTTTGAGATGGTCAGAGGCAAGGTCCTGTGCAAATGCAGTATTTTATTAAAATATTTAATAAGCAGATTCTCTGACCCAATAGAGGGAACAAAGATGCCTGTCCACTCTTGATTTTTCCTACCCATAATTATTTCTAGAGAACATATATTACATATTGTACAGCTTTATTCTGTTTTCAGAGGATAATTATACTAGAAATTCCAGCCTTCTTTCTGTGGAGGGACCTCTTTCTCAGAAACCACACCTTGTAGCAGTCTGTTTTTCATTTGAGAAGGGTTGAATTCCCATTTATGTCAACAAGTTTTTATGGACTGACTACTTTCAAAAGATGGATACAGGTAAAATGGGAAGCCCTTATGCACAAATCATAATTCAGTCTGGAAGATGTATTGGAAGCTGATGATAAAGGAGTGGAAGCTTTTTTGCATGTGAAATCTGTTAGAGATTACTCCTAATTTCATGCCTGCCATTGTAACCGAGAGAGGAGCCTGTAATTCCTGTTGTAGTCATCTGAACGTCTCCAGGGGTATCTCCACGCTGAGGGGGAACTTGGACTTGGTTGCAAATGAGGCACGGTAAATGCAAAACGGACAGTACCATTTGCTCTGTGTATGAGATTGGAGGCTTTTATGGATATATTTACATAAGCATTTAAGGAGTTTAAACTGAAAGCCAGGGTCTTAAAGTAAGGTTCACAACCCACATATAACATACAGGAGGGACAAGTCTTTCATTCTCCAACATTAAAGACTGATGGACCCAGTATACTTTCAATTTCCTAAGAGCAAACTACTGTTTCAGAAATGTTCCGACTTAGTAATAATCTAATAGTCACGCTTCACTGTTTTTAACATCTACAAGTAGCAAAATTATATTCCCGTGTGAGTAATTTTAGTAAGGGGGTAGCAGCAAGGAAACTGAATTTTGTTTTAAAAAAAAAAAATCCTGTTCAAGTCTTACTTCTGCTGGAAAAGTTTGTTTGTTTTTTTATGTAGCTGTGGTGTACTCAAGGCTTTTTTTTTTTCATCATTGCATATGCAAAATCCAGACCTGCAGAACTGTTCCATGTGGTGAACAGTCTGTTGAACCCAGACTGTTTTGCCTGAGTAGCAGATTTCCATATACCTCATTATGAGTTTGGGGTTTTTTGATTTATGTAGGCTCTGTTCCTTCAAAGGGATGTATGACTGTAGACCTTTATACCTACAAAAGTGATATCTTATCAAGTACTGAGGAAAATACAAGGGCAGGTCACGTTGGAGAATAAGAGCCTTATTTTGCAGAGAAGGATTTTCTTTCCAGCCAGTTTAATCTTTCATGGAAACAGCATGTAATCAGGAGGCCACAAAGTAACTTAGCTTTTGAAGCTTTTTAATAGTACCCAACAGGGTTCTGGATGTTTAGTGAATTATGTAAGCGACAGTGTGTAATGCAAATTCATATCCCTTTTGATTGGTGAAAGATTTAGGTCAGTATTGCTAAAAGAAATGGACTTTAGCTGGTTGTTGCCTTATAGAACCTGATTTAAGTAAAAAGTGCTAGATCTTTCCACACCAAAGAAGCCATTATCCTTGGCAATAGCAGGCGTACTTCAGTCTTCCATCCTATGGTAAAGGCAATTGATTAAGGTGCCTAAATACATCTCTGAAGTTATCTTATTTCTGTGGATTCCTAGCATTCAGATTTCCAGTCTGTGCATGGACAGAGTTATTATCTTTGTTCATATTATTTCCTTCTGGGGATGAACAAAGTCATAGAATCAGGGAATATAATCATAAAACAATGTAGACTGGAGAGAACCTCTGGAGATTGTCTGGCCAAGTCCCTCCTCAGAGCAGGGCCAGCTTAGATCAGCGTGCTTACGGCAGTTGTTCGGCTGAGCTTTGAGCACCTCCAAGGACAGAGATTCCCCAGCCCCTCTGGGCCCGTCTTCCAGTATTTGGTTACTCTCATTGTGAAAATGTTTTTCCTAATAGCTAACCAGAACTTCCTTTGTTGCAACATGTCTGCATTGCCTTTCATCCTGTCACTGTGCACTTCGGAGAAGACTCTGGCTCCATCTTCTCTATATTTTTCTATTAGATAATTGAAGGCATCAGTGTGCCTTCAATAACAATATGCCTTCAACTTCTCTCTTCAATATCCCCTCCTCCCCAGTGTTCTCTTAAGACTGAACAAACCCATTTCTTTCAGCATGCCCCCTTACATCGTGTACCTAATAATCTTTCTGGCCCACTGCCCCTTGATCTAGTAGGCTAACATCTGTGTTGTATTGGGAGGCCCAAAACTAGAGTAGATGGCATGATTGACATTTGCATCTGGCCATCTATTACTCCTCAGTCCAAATTATTTTGCTTATTCTTAGCTGGTTTGACTGAAGGTGGCTTTTTGAATAATTTAAGACTCAAAGTCCTCCCTCAATAACAAGATAGCTTAACTACAGTGCTCTGCATCTTACTGATGAGGGCTAAGAAACAGAACTGTTTACAACGAAAAAGCTATTTCCTGAGAGAATGCTTTGCATTAGTGATACCCTTGATTAAAGTAGTATAATTACAGTGGGTCATGGTATAACCTGTTTTTATAGATGGTATCACTCAATACTTTTTATATTGCCCAGCATAAAATACACTTCATCATGGCCCTCTAACTTTAAGCATAGGGAAAGAGGACAGTGTAGAAATCACTTTCAAATCCCAGGGACTGTATGTGTAATGTACTGTTAAATTAACTTCTGTTTTTAGTGCGCTTGGAGGATCATCTGCCCTTCACATCCCAGCCTTTCCTGGTGGAGGTTGTCTTATCGACTATGTACCCCAAGTATGCCAGCTGCTAACAAACAAGGTAAGTTAGTAAAGAGAACTCAATTTTCCTTTCCCTTATGTGCTGTACTGTATTGCAGTAACACACTATAGCGTTTCCATAGACATAGTTTTTCTTCTGCCAGGTAGTCCAAGCAGGGCGTACTTAAGGTGGACTACACAAAGCATACCTTCTTGATAAGAGTTGAGCACCTACACAGGGCGCTGAATATAATGACTCTTCTAGGTAAACAAGCATGTTTGGGATCAGATCCTGGAGTGCATTTTTCTTACTGTGACATGTTACGATTTAGGTTAAAATGTTACTGTATCGTACAACACTGCATTGTAGCATACCATTTTGCTAGTAAATACAAATGTGTAGTGTGCATATTTTTTTTTTCCAGTTGGAAGATACCTAAGTTCTCATACCATAGTAATCGCTGTAGGTTTTGAGTACTTTCAGTGATTTTCTTCTCAGATGTTTCATCCAAATGAACTGAATCAGCAGTCTACCTGGATGTTTATACAGTAATAGCTACTTAAGGTTGCTGAAAAGGTTGTGTTCCGGTTAGCTTACTGTTTAAACAAAAAAGTTCGGCTGAGCTTTGAGCACCTCCAAGGACAGAGATTCCCCAGCCCCTCTGGGCCCGTCTTCCAGTATTTGGTTACTCTCATTGTGAAAATGTTTTTCCTAATAGCTAACCAGAACTTCCTTTGTTGCAACATGTCTGCATTGCCTTTCATCCTGTCACTGTGCACTTCGGAGAAGACTCTGGCTCCATCTTCTCTATATTTTTCTATTAGATAATTGAAGGCATCAGTGTGCCTTCAATAACAATATGCCTTCAACTTCTCTCTTCAATATCCCCTCCTCCCCAGTGTTCTCTTAAGACTGAACAAACCCATTTCTTTCAGCATGCCCCCTTACATCGTGTACCTAATAATCTTTCTGGCCCACTGCCCCTTGATCTAGTAGGCTAACATCTGTGTTGTATTGGGAGGCCCAAAACTAGAGTAGATGGCATGATTGACATTTGCATCTGGCCATCTATTACTCCTCAGTCCAAATTATTTTGCTTATTCTTAGCTGGTTTGACTGAAGGTGGCTTTTTGAATAATTTAAGACTCAAAGTCCTCCCTCAATAACAAGATAGCTTAACTACAGTGCTCTGCATCTTACTGATGAGGGCTAAGAAACAGAACTGTTTACAACGAAAAAGCTATTTCCTGAGAGAATGCTTTGCATTAGTGATACCCTTGATTAAAGTAGTATAATTACAGTGGGTCATGGTATAACCTGTTTTTATAGATGGTATCACTCAATACTTTTTATATTGCCCAGCATAAAATACACTTCATCATGGCCCTCTAACTTTAAGCATAGGGAAAGAGGACAGTGTAGAAATCACTTTCAAATCCCAGGGACTGTATGTGTAATGTACTGTTAAATTAACTTCTGTTTTTAGTGCGCTTGGAGGATCATCTGCCCTTCACATCCCAGCCTTTCCTGGTGGAGGTTGTCTTATCGACTATGTACCCCAAGTATGCCAGCTGCTAACAAACAAGGTAAGTTAGTAAAGAGAACTCAATTTTCCTTTCCCTTATGTGCTGTACTGTATTGCAGTAACACACTATAGCGTTTCCATAGACATAGTTTTTCTTCTGCCAGGTAGTCCAAGCAGGGCGTACTTAAGGTGGACTACACAAAGCATACCTTCTTGATAAGAGTTGAGCACCTACACAGGGCGCTGAATATAATGACTCTTCTAGGTAAACAAGCATGTTTGGGATCAGATCCTGGAGTGCATTTTTCTTACTGTGACATGTTACGATTTAGGTTAAAATGTTACTGTATCGTACAACACTGCATTGTAGCATACCATTTTGCTAGTAAATACAAATGTGTAGTGTGCATATTTTTTTTTTCCAGTTGGAAGATACCTAAGTTCTCATACCATAGTAATCGCTGTAGGTTTTGAGTACTTTCAGTGATTTTCTTCTCAGATGTTTCATCCAAATGAACTGAATCAGCAGTCTACCTGGATGTTTATACAGTAATAGCTACTTAAGGTTGCTGAAAAGGTTGTGTTCCGGTTAGCTTACTGTTTAAACAAAAAAAGAGTGAGTATAGTATTTTGAAAGCTTCTCCATTATTGAAGTGTAATTTTCAAAAGAAAGCTTAGGGACCAACATCTAGGAATCTGCCTATTACAGACCTCCTATTCATATTTGTATATTATTTTTACCTTCATTTGTTCAGATGAGGAAAATAATTTTCTCTTTTAGACAAAGTTCTTAAAAATGCGTTTCCATAATTATATTGGAATCTATCTTTAGAGTTGTTTTTGTTGTGGTTTTCTGTTAAAATTACTTTCTGTTTTTGAAATCTGCAAGTACACAGGACTGTTTTTATCCTTTCTTAAACAAAGTCCCTTAAGCAAACTTATCATATGTTTTCCTTTTCCCAAAATAACATTTCAGATCCCACACAAAGCCTTCAAAATAATCGTAGTTTTTTATAAAATGAAATAAGTCTCAGTTTATAAGCAGAATTTAACTTTAAGGGGTACAAGATAGCTCTCAGCAATGATTGTATTAAGACTTTTTCAAAAAATTTAGGAAAGCATTTGCCAGCCAAGGAATTCTAGTATTACCAAAGCCAAGAAAAATATTCTTCCTGTTCTTTTTGTGTTCAGTGGGGAAAAAAGGTTTTTAAAATGTTAGTTTTCATTCTGGAAGGCAAAGGGATTTACATAGGGAATCACATATGGAACCATACCACAAGTACTTGAAGTAGCCAGTTGTAATCCAGAAGCTCTTGCAGCCTGACAACACGTGGATTGTTTCTGTTATGGGTCAAACCCTGTTCACACTGTTCTGCTAAGTAATCCCATTCAAATCAATAAGAAAACATACATGGTGAGAGGAGAATTTTGCCTTAAGTCTTCCAGATTTGGCATTGTTGGATTTTGTCTGTGCCAGGATGGAAGTCTTTCAAAACCCAGAATGCCTCAGAAATTGATGCTCGCAGTTGAGTAGGTGGCTCCCTGAGTCAGCATGAAACCACTGAGAGAGCTTAGTGTTAAGAAGATTTTGTTGGAGGTGCAGTCTTCAGAAAACACCCAAGATCAGTTGTGAAATATATTTTTTTTGTTTTCTTTTATAACCAGAATTTTATTTTGACACTTAACCAACTGTCAGTTCAGGTAATTATGATTTGCCTATAGCGGTTTCCTGCTCAAACTGTAGCAAGGCACGGTCGTGCATTTCTTTTCTTCACTCTTTATCTTGCATAGTTAAACAGCGCTTCAGTATATTGTGAAATACTAAGTTTCACTTAGAAGTGAGTGAAGACATTTCCTTACAAGATTTTCTGTGTGCAAGATCCACTGTTTGTTTTAAAGGCATTTTAGGATTCTTTAGGGGAATCAGAACTGTAGGATTCAGAACTACTACCATGTCAAACGTAAATCTTCCTTAACAAGGAAGATATGACAAATTGGGAGCATTGGCTTTTTTTATCTTTCTATAGCTTTGGATTTGTTTCTTTCTTTCTTTTTTAAGGTACAATATGTTATTCAGGGATACCATAAGAGAAGAGAGTATATCGCAGCTTTCCTGAGTCACTTTGGAACGTAAGTTTTCTTTTGATGCGTTATTTTCTGTAGCATGGGGGAAAGTGTTGTTTTCTGCACGTGGTCTTTGGTTGTGTGACTGCTGTCCACTGGATAAGATGAAATCTGGTCACCTTTCACAGAATGATGTATATAGATTGTCTCTCTGTAGCAGTACTGGAATGAAGTTAAGTGTTACTTCACTTCTGTGCCAGTTGTCGATCTGATTTTGCTAGAAAATAGCTGATTATGGGAAAAGGACAGCAGGGATTTTCTCCTCATGCAAAAGAAATGTGCTCATTTCTGAATAAATGACTGGAGGGGTCTTACAGTAATAGGCAGTGACTGAGGTAGGGGGACGGGGAAGTGGCTACGGTTCCAAGCCTTGCAGGAGCCAGAAACCACTGCTCGGCGTAAAGGCAGGACGGGGAGACCAGCTGCTCCCACCGCCGAGCAGTATCTTGTCTCTCTCTCTCGAAAGGGCTGTTGGGTCATGTCGAATTCCTGCAGTTCAAAGGTCCATGGACTGGCATGATGACACATTAGCTTCACAAATCAACTAAACAGGGGTGCCTTGGCACTGTGAAGGGTAAGCACTTTGGTTTTCCCACCTAAATCCTGACTTGGGCGAGAGTCCAGGAGCTGATGCACCAGCGATTGCCTGACCAGTAGTGCTTTACCTCACTGTGAGGAGGGGGTTTCTGCTTCCGAGTGGTGATGCCAAATGACATGGATATTTGGGAGCCCTTCAGATTTCGGGTCTCTCAAGTGAGGGTAGGAAGACAGGTGGCTTCCAGCATGCACCCAAAGTTTATACAACTATAGATAGATAACAATGACTTGAACTGGACATGTGAGTAGATAGAGAGTCGATGCAAGCTCAATCCTTATGAAAACAAGGTGGTACTTTTTCTTCTGAGAAAACTACAGTATAGAAACGGCCCAGGTGTGCCTGTGATTTTATTTCACTTGCGAAGTGGTTCACGGGTCCTGATACTGCTTGAGACTTTTAGAGAATACCAACTTTGGTATTCTCTATTCAACATGGTTGAAACTTTTAATCCGTCTACTGAACAAGTCTTCTATATTTAATTTTTTGTATGCTCTCGTGCTTTGCTTTTTTTATATATACTCTTGAATTTCCAAATTTAAACTCTTCTCAGCTTGCGTATTTTCAATTTTACCCTGTCACTTACTACAGACTTAATAAATTATCTTAATCTGAGTAACATACAGGGAATTTGTGTGTGTACAGTTTTTATCAATTTAGTACTGCAGATGCATTAGCAGGTCTCCTTTCTTTCTAAAGTGTATTTAAATAAACTGAATATGGCTTTTCTTTGGGCAAGAAACTCCAATACCACAGCATAAATAAGATTATTAAGATTAAAGGTTTAATTCAATTTTCATTTAGCTAGAAAATTGTAACTGTTAATAAATAAAGCAAATACAGGAAGTTTCTGAACAAACAGACAAAAAAACAATTCCTGTAATACAGAATTTACACATTTATCATTCAGTATTAGAATGAATGGTAGGTAAAAATTGTATTTTTTTTTTTATTTATTTTTTGTTGATAGTGGAGTGGTGGAATATGATGCAGAAGGCTTCACAAAGCTTACTCTGTTGCTGATGTGGAAAGATTTTTGCTTCCTTGTACACAGTAAATAACACTTTGCCTCAGGCATAAATGTCTATCCTCTTGAAGATACAAGTTCAAAAGGGAAGAAATACAATTACAGGAAACAATTTAAAAGTTTTAGCTATCTTTATCCAGTGCTTAATGTATTTTTCATGTGACCATGACACTTTGAAAACACAAAATCTTGATTGTATTTGGAGAAGGGGAGGGGATCCACATCGATAGCATACTGCCTGCTTTACAGAACGCCAAAAGCGTCATGAGAAGGTTTTCTGGTAATTTGACTCAAGATTAAGTTCACAGTTGTAACTCGTCCTTTCAAAAGTGTCAGTAATGAGGACCAATAGTATACATAACCTGGGAATATCTAAAATCTTCTGTAATTGTCAGGAATTAATGCACTGATAGTGATAGTAAAGACACTTTAGTGTAGGGAAAATATATTAAATGAGAAATAACACTATACTGTCGTTAGGAGCCAAAGGTTATTCCTAGACTGAAACTGTGTTGGCAAAACTGTCTAACAGTTTGCTACAGTATGTAGCTAGATTTGCTGTCACTTGAAATTTTTAATTCAAGATTGTACTACTTGCAAAAAGCATTCTTAACTAAATAAATATATAGGAATTACTTCATGTAGAAGTTAGTAAGTGTGGCTTTGTTGCTGCCTAATACATGTTACCTTAAGTAACGATTATTATTTTTCCCTATGGTAAGGTGAAATTCACAGGTATCAAAGATATTTTGGCCTGGGGAAATTCAGTCATGTTACCGTTTATTTTTGATTGTTACACTTCTCATCATTGTTTAAAATAATTGCAGTGCAATCTGGGCAGCTGCAACATTGGTGTTTGTTAACAGTCTAGCACTGGAATATTTCAGATTACATCATTTTTGATTGTGGGCTAACTTTTCATGTGGAAAACTAACGATGTCTTAATGACATCATAGAAATTTGTCACAGAGTTTTTAAAGCAAGAAGTGGGGATTGCCATTGTTCAGAGAAGTCCTTCACCCTGTGTTGTATTGGAGATCATAAAAAATGGTCTCACTGATCCCTTTCTTTTTATCACCTAAGATTTCCAGACAGTAATGACTGTAAGAGGTCTAGGAAACTCAAACCTGAAATTAAAAAACTTCCATCATCTTAGTATGATTTACGTTGTGAAAAAAAAGAAATAAAACTGATATTTTTTGAAAAATTGTCTTTATTACATCTTTACTTACTCTTCAACTACAATTGAGAATTGGTCACTGGGCGATTGTCTTCCATGAAATGATGCTTCTTTATGTACAACCTTCTTGAAGATTTCCTACCTTTCTTACTCCCCAGTATGTTTGGCTTAATTTTATCAGTGTTAAAATTCCTGTGGATTTGATTTTTGCTGTGGGATAATATAACTTAATAGATGTTGAATCAGTTAGATTTCAGGGGAATCAAAATTCAAATTTCTGTTAAATAACAGAGTAGGTTTTAACTGTGTAACATTCAGAGTGCTCAATTTAACTGGCACGAAAGCTACAATTATAACTGAATAGTTTATCACTATGTATTAACCCTGTGGCCTTAGAAATCATACAGTGGCTTAGCTGTGTAAGCCATTGCATCACCCGCTTGTTGAACAATCCACTGCAAAAACATTTATGTTCCATGCACTGAAGGATATTGCAATGAAAGGACCGAAACCTGCACTTCATTTCCTGAGTGAAGCAGTGTAGGCTTTCATCTCTTAACCACTGACATAACTATGTATATTATGGTTGACTATTTAGCAAGCGTCTAATAAAATGTCTGGGAGAGATAGCCGTAAGTTGGAAACTGTTTTACTTTATATATTTACTATAGTATGTAGAGAAAGTATTCAGAGGAGAATAAATAGGTCAGTATACAGCAAACACCTTGGCAAATCAAATGAAAGGAACCGTAGTAAATTTTACTGGCATCTTAATTTTGGTTAAAATTTTAGTTTTAATTGAGATTGTGAGATATATAAACCCTAATGTGAGTTTTATTTCCTTCAAAAGATGCATTCAGAGATTTCAGAAATAACTTTGGCCTTTTTTTTGCAACTACTTGCATTCAAAGTTACAAACTTGTTGGGAAACTAGGAAGCAAAACACATTAGAAGTAAAGCGAAATAGTTTTATTGAGTAAACTGAGTTAAAGATGAGAGAAGCGGGAAAGTAGTTCTGGGTTGCCAAAGCCCAATAACCTCAGAACAATTTCACTTGCTAAAAAAAATTGATTTGTGCTGTAGTTACAGAATTAAGAGCAAAGTCTACCCACTCTACCCTAAAACACAGAAGAGCTACCTAATTGCAAACTTAATCATTAGATTAATGTAGCTGCTGAAGTTGTTATATTAGATCAAAGAGCAGTCAAAGGAAATGTTCCTTTAGTGGTTTAGTTTTAAGAATTAATCAAGTGCTTTCAAATATATGACAGAAGAAATAAACGTTCAGAAAAGTTCATGCATCCACATGAAAGAGGAAATGGTTAATCAGGCTTAGTGCTTTTGATATTGATACTGTTTATCAGTAAGTCTCAGTACAAAGCTTTGTAAGTAAACTTCAATATACTGCTGATTTCTTTCTCGTTTATAAATCAGCTATGATTAGGTTTTGGAGATAGATATTTCTTCATATTCTTGTTCCTCCATACATTCTGTGTATTTATACCGTATATAAATGTAAACACAAGTTACATTATCTGTGCATAATTAAGAATTAAGTAGCCTTATTGGTATGGACACAAGAATAGGACTCCAAAGCAACCTGTATATAGGCTTTTCAAAGATTAATTTTTATCTTACAAGATTTTTAGGTTGTCAGCACAAAGGAGATTGACAGAAGTTGGACCGGTTGCAATAGCAAATGATACACTGCTTGTGTTAGTGGTTATTTGTTTAAGACACCTTGAAAAGGACAGATATTAAACTAAAAAGGTTTTGTTTCATTGAACAATATTTTGGGGGATGGAGAATGTTGGAATCTGCCAGCATTTGTACCTTAAGTTTGTATGGGATCTCAGACGTAGGTGAAGTTGGTGGGAACAGTTGCTGCCCGTGACCTTGGCTAACTGTAAGGGATTTCGGGTTCTGTGTTGGGTAATACCAGTGACCCGGGAGGTCCAAAGTGCTAGTCATGTAAAAGCTAAAGTTTAATTAACGAGCTTTCTTGCTATGGGAGTGCCAACTGAAGTAGCTTTTTGTCCACCCTCTTACCTGTCTGTGCAGTTACGTGGTTACCTCTGTCAGAGAATAGATCAGAAATAGGCAGCATCTCAGCAAGAAGGAGGTTTTTACACAGAAGAGAGAAGCAAGCAAGGGGCCTAGAGCATTAATTGGGTTATAGGAGGTTATACCTATGAGTATCAGCACGTGGATGCGTGCTTCTGGATTCAGAGTTTTTTGATGGAAGTCATCAATGCCAGCTTCTGATGCATTCCTGTTTGGGTATTGCTATCTGCACACGTTTGTCAGCAGAGCAATTTGTGCCAATGCAGTCAACTTACATGGTTTGAATTGATGGCCTGAGCTAAACCATTGGGGTTCGCTCACATAAACCTCTTTTTGATCTGGATTAGCACATCTGTCCACAGCTTCAGAAAGCAGCTCGGAAAATAAAGACACAAATAATTTTTGGTAGCTGTGTTTGTCAGATGAGGCTTGGGAGGAGGGGGGAAAAAAAAGGACATGTTGGGAAAGAGCATTAGTAGCTGCGAAGACAAGTTTACACTACTGTGCAAAGAAAGTGCAGTTTATTCCAGTAGTGTTCAGAGAAAGAGAAATGTATGCCCACCCACTGTAAATAAACACAATTGCATTGAAGAAGTAATTCCTTCTATCAGTTCCCTTTCCAAGCAGAAATAACTTATTAGGCTTCAGATACTGTTTTAATCATTCAGTAGAGCAACAATAATCCTTAGAATTTAGGTAAATGTTAATTTTTCAGGCACCTGGTGTAGTTTAAGATGCTACCTGCCCTTTAAAGGAGATTGCCCCACCTCTGGAAAGTCAACAGAACAGAGCTAATGAGCATTCGCCAGCCCCTTCATCTATTCCTCCAGCAGCTGTTTAAATAAACAAGTTAGACTTTGTGGTAGTAAATGGCTAGCAAGGAGGTTTGATAAAGTCTTAAATGGAAGATTTTTCCTAGATGAACATGTGTCTGATCACTTAGTGTTTGCTATTTGGGTTTAGGAGAGCTTATGTGAGAAGGCAAAAGTATTTTCTTTCATCTAAGATTTGTATTTATTGTTCTTTTTGAAATTGCTTCTGCAGATTCCTATTTGAAAAATCACATGCCTACCACACTAACTCCACAGTCACTGAGATAATAAAAACGTTCAAGAAATTATTTGTTTATCTGAGCAATTTGGAACCCAGAACATGAGACTATTTCGTGTAAACATTCCTGTAAATATTTCAGTAAACCTTTATCTGCCTGTAGTTTTGGCCATAGAGCCCTCCCTGTTATATAGGACCTATAGATCTTGTTAGATGTAAACGTGAGAAGTAGCTGGTGTTTGTTGTTTTGATATAATATTTAATGCAGTTGGAATATGCTCAGTGACTCCTGTGTGCTACTGGAGTATGAATAACCATTTGAGTGGGCTTGGTAGTTTTAGAGATATATTTTTTCAGTCTTCTGTCACGTAAGACTTGCTCACATACTTTTTGGAAGCTGAAAAGAAGATAGCCTTCAAGAGTTGCTCTCCTTCACCAGTATCAGTGCCTGGCAGTCATCACAATTAACACTTCAAATTCCAGGAAAAAAATCTTTGGAGAAAATTAAGATTGCATTGGCTCCACTTCTTCAGGGAAGTTAGTCTGATGAGGAAAGAGAAGTCTCTTCAAGAAAAGGTATGGAAAAATAAACTGTTGTCTGCCCGAGTTATTTCTTAAAAAAGGGCCGAGTGTTGAGTGGAATATTTACATTAGATCGCTTCTGTGAGCTTTTATCTTATGAGGTGTTTTGGCTTCCTTATATAGTGCTTTTATTTTAATCTTCTCATTGTT